CTTGGAAAGTAAAAAAAGTGTGACAAAATTTCAAGTTCTCTGTTATTTGCTTTATATAATAGTAAGATGTTGTCACACCATGTAAAACATTTTTAACATCTTATCACTGCTCTACACACCATCATCACATTGTTAGAAAGTAGCAATTATGAGATCAATTGATATCTCGAACCGTTAGATTATGTACTTTGTTGATGTATCTTGTGTGATAAAAAATACAAACAAGATCATTGCAGAAAAACCATGACGTGTTAGTATATTCCCATTTTCATGATTGTTAATCAAAATGGTTTTCACATATAATGTATGTTTAGATACAGGACACGAATTGTATGGTTAGGGATGGGTGGACCATGTAGACAGGTTGGGAAGATAAGGTGTACTCTGAACTCAAAAATTATTAGAAGGTCCAACAAAGGCTGCTGCAATGGTGTGGGACTTGCACAGAATTTGAGAAAGCTCATCTAGATCTAGGAGAAGACGACGACAACTTGAGAAAATGGTAAGTAGCAGTAATTCAAACTTTCAAGGTTTCATTGAGCATCTTTTTCATTACCGTTGACATTTTCCCTTCTTTTCTTTTCTTTTCCTTTCCTTTCCTTTCCTTTCAGCCTTGGGCCACCGAGTTCAGGACCACCACCACCAACACTTGCACAAACACACATACACAACACAACACAACACCATAGAACTTATTTAGTGCGTTTGGTTTGAGTTTTCTGAATTAAGTTTTTTGAAAATTGACTTTTTTTTTATTTTCGTATTTTTTTATTTTTAGTGAATATTTTTTAAATTTTAAACATTTTTTTTTACTTTTTTAGATGCATCTTCCTTAGATGTATCTAAAAAGTAAAAAATTGTAAAAAAATATTTTAAAAAATTAATAAATACATAAAAATATAAAAAAATGTACTGAATTCTTGTATTTTTTTTATATTTTTGGTATTTAGTGAATTTTTAAAAGATTTTTTTTATAATTTTTTTACTTTTTAATTGTATTTATGTTAGGTGTGTCTGAAAAGTAAAAAAATTACTTAAAATATTAAAAAAATTCAATAAAAATAAAAATATATGAAAAATAAAAAAATAAAATTTTTTAAAAAGTGTTTTATGAAAAGTGAAAACAATCAAGGCGATTAGTGCCCTTTATTATGCTCCACCCTACAACAGGTTTTAGAGCCTCTCTACTTCTCTTTACAAAAGGCTATTGTATTTACTTTTCTGTCCTCTTAGTAATCATCCAAGAAGAGGATGTTAAGGAAAAGAATTTCTTGGAATTGATTGTACTTTTTCTATCTTCGATTGGAATCTTGAAAAGTGTGTGCTACGAATTTCCAACTTGACTAATTAACCTCTAACCCATTTAAAATTAGTGTTTTGGTTGGAACCGCAAGTATTTCACTTGGTAAGTAGTAATTTTATTTTGTTTTATTCTATTTATTTTTATTTTTTATTTTTGTTTGGTAGCAACAGGAATTTTGTTCACTAAGACCTAATGTACTTAAGGTAGTTGCCTATTTGGACTCAATTTCCTTCTAGTTTTGTGGTCTATCTTAAACACATTATTAATTTCTTGTTTGAGTTAATAGTATATAAATAATTTTTAATACAATTTTTTTTTATACAAAATGATCATTGATGTGGCCCATGATCAAAATGATAGTTCATAAATCTAATTGTATTTAATATAAGAAAAATGCTAAAAACAACTCTTAAGACTGTCATTAGCAGAATTCTTAATATAAAGCTTTTTATTTTTTTCTTTTTTTTTTTAAATCTAGAATTTTTATGATGTTTCGTGGAGGTTTCCTTTTACATTTGAAAATTCAATCCAGTCTCTAAATAAGGACAAGTGTAGAATGGATTATGGGGCCACTTGGATCCTTTGGCAATTGCAGTGAAACTCATACAAGGAACTACAAAGTCAATATGAATTATCATTTTTAAGTTAAAGTTGATGCATTATATATATATATATAGAGAGAGAGAGAGAGAGAGAGAGAGAGACAGAGAGAGAGAGAGATGCAAGTGTTATGTTCTTGTCAATGCTAATAATGTATTTCAATTGGAGCCCGTGAGACAGATATTGAAATAGTGTCAACCTTGGAATATAATGAGACATATTGTTTGATGTGTTTGTATATAGTCCAAACTTAGAAGGTTATTCTAAATTGTTCAGGATGATTTGGCACATAAGAGAGCTTGGTTTATGTTCAATTAGGATTTGAATTGGACTGTAAGGATCAAAATTGTAATATGTCAGAATTTTGTGGCAAACAGAGACTTAGATTTGTCCATTCATCCACACTTATCAACATATTTTGAAATAGTGTATCAAGACTGAATATTAGATTTGAGTGGTTAGATAAATTTGGGTCCTATTATAGAATGTCACAATTAAAAGTTAACATAACATTTCTCGATTATCTATTTATGGATAAATTTACAATAATTTTTAATGTGTTGATGAGTGTGCTAAGTACAGAGTCATCAACAATAACTGAAGATGAGTGACTTATATGTATTGATTAATAATTGTACATTCTTTAATTACTAAGTTTTATATAAGGAGAATTTACAGATCAGTGGGTTTTTTTTAAATATAATTACCAACTCATAAAAAAGTACATGATTTTATGATTTTAATTATTAAAATTTATCACTAATTATTATTTTTTTTTTTCACAAATATACACTGAACTGTTACTTCCCCTTTATGAAAAAAACAGGTACAATCATTGAGAGCGTGTTATTGTTAGACAAAACAAAAAACAAAAACCAAAATGTGCAATCACTGTCTTGAGTTTTGGGTGGGAGGGGGTAGATTTGTCAATTCAGGAGATAAAAAGCACACTGAGATGGCCCCTCCACTCCACTCCACCGACATGGGCACATCGAGTCTTGTACAGTACAAGTACGTTGGTGCATTTGCTTACATTGTCCACTCACTCATGCACACGCAATCTTATCTTGTTTATTTTAGGGATATTTTGATTGAATCGAACCAACTTATCGTATTTTGAGTGGATGTTTGACGACGAGTGGATAGTAATAGATTAATTTTTTTTAATTTGTTTAATTTTAGATGAATGACGAATTTGAGATTCCTTTAACCGTAATCGAATACTAAATCGCGAACACTCTTTGTAATTTATAAGATTTTGTGTTTTCAATTTGTTTAGATATTGTATTTGTGTTTTTAATTGAAAAAGAATTTAGATATTTGTTGTGTTTTTAATCTAAAAATTCTTTTATCAAATGACAAGTATTGATATTTGATATTTTTTGTGTAAGGCTTAATTTTGTAATTCTCTTATTATTATCAATAAAGTATCTCTTTGCTTGTTCAATATAAGGCTTAATTTTGTCATTTAAAAAAAAATCAAATTAAATAGTTTTTGAGTTAAAAAAAAAATAATGAAATAGCTTTGATAATGTATAGTTTTCTTATATATATTTATTATTGGTATTTGATAATCTTTTGGTTATGTTGAGTTGAATTGTTATTCAAATAAAAAAAATTGACAGATTATTGTATTATGTTCAAAATTTGTAAAAATTTAAACCGCCAAATCAATTCGTATCCATCTTCCAATTCACTCAATCTGCATCCGTCAATTCGGCGGACGGATGCGAATTGATTTTTTTCAATCCACCAATCCAACAAATGGATGGCGGATGGGAGGTTCTTTGGTCACGACCGAACCGCGAGCACTCCTATTTATTCATTGAGTTGTTGGTTGAAAAATAAAAATAAAAAATTGAATTGTTCAAATTTATTATTTTGTCCCTTAAAATATGATATATACTGTTTATGTGTATATTTTTTTATAATAAAAATACTAATAATTGTAAAAAGATACTAACATTTTTCACTCACGCACACACATGTTTGGTTTTGCAAAGAAAGAGAAAAAAAAAATGTAAACGTCAACGAGAACGAGAACGAAAACAAAAATGATGATAAAATAATTAAAGTCTGTTGTTTGGTTTTTAAAAAATAAAATGTTAATGAATATCTTAAGTGTACGTGTCAAAAATACATTAAAATGTATAAAAAATAAAAATAAAAATATGTAAAAATATGAAAAATCTTTGGACATTCTTTTTTTTTTATTTTTTTATTTTTAATAGAAATGAAAATGATAAAAGCAATTAGCTTGTTGTCCCAACCTTTAAAGTCAAAGTTGGGTTGCAAGTTGCAACATGGATTTAAACCTACAATATTAGGTACGCTATTTTCTCCATTTTCACGTCTTCCATTTTGGTACCCATGTTTTTCTTTAAGTTCTTTTGGCTTGGTGTTTTCTCCATTTTTTGCATCATCCATTTTGATAGCTATGTTTTGTCGATAGAGTGTTTCCAGCGATTGTGATTGGTGAATAGAGTGAAATTCATTATTTTATATTGATGATTGAAAATACAACACGAGACATTTTATTATTTGTTTGTGGTATGGTCACATGGTACCTCTGAAATATTGAATAATTTATGTACCATTAGATATGTTTTTTTTCGAAAATGGTGGAACCGCTTAAATCAATTTGGTTCATGATTCTAAAACTTTAGCTACGGTTCCGAACCAAACCAAACCGTAATATATTTGTTTAAAGTATAAAAGTTACTTATAAGATTTGAATACTAGTCTTGATTGTGAAATTAACAAACTCGGACTAACTTAATCAAACTAATTATTGTTAGTTTGTTTAATTTATAATGTATATATATCATATTTATTATATTATATAAAATTTCTAGTACCAAATCGAATCAAACCAATTTTTAGGATTCAGTTTTAGTTCGGTTTCATAGATTTAATTATTTGGTTACAATTTTAATTTTTTCGAAATAGTAAAATCTAATTCGATTTATGATTTACTCTAAAACCTGATCAATACGATCCGTGAACACTCTATCTTCTATCAACATTATTCTCACCTCGCTATATGCTTTACTAAAAATTAGATGTTGTGTACACTCAACCTTTTACATAAGGAATAAAAAAAATGAAATGCAAATTCATAAACAAAAAGTAAAAGATAAGCGCAGCAGCCACCCACACCCAGTATAAAGTGACTACTCCAACTTAAAAAAAGAAAAAAGAAACAGGAGAAAAAACAAAACATGATATGAAATTATATGTAAAGGAAAGATTACAGAGAAAATAAGTGACAAAAAGTTTTTTTTTTTTTTGGGTTTTTCCTTCTTGAGAAGGGATATTTTGGTCATTTTGAGAAGGGTAGAGTCTTAAATGACCGTCTTACCCCTCTTGTACACAAAAGGCTTCAACAGTTCCCCCATGTTTCCGAGGCAGGAGGAGGAGGAGGCTCGGCAAACCCAAACCCAAAGCCTTGGGCTTGGGCCTTCAACAGTGTGTGGTCACGCTCATTATATGTTGCTGCTGCTGGGAACTCTACGCCCCCCGTGAACGATAGCAGATTCCTCACGTTCACGTTAACGTCAACACCCCCATCATCACAGTCTCCTGTTAGACCCAAAAAGTCTCTGGTCAGGCTGTCACTTTTTTGCCACGTGGCAATATTCCCCGACGTGAAGCCCAGGTGGTACTCCGGAGACATGGTAGATGCCACGTGGCCAACTGTCTGTGAGCCAACTGTTGCAGCCTTCTGAAGGAGTGCAGTGGCTGAGAGGTCAGCTGACGTGGCAATGTTTGAGGTGGCTTGTGTACTGACATGGAGGTTTTGGAAGGGTGAGGTGGCCATATTCTTGTGGGTTGGTGGTGGTTGGAAAAATGGTGAGGAAGAGATGGGTTGTTGTTGTTGTTGTTGTTGTGGTGGTTGTGGGATGGGGAGGTGGACAGGTTCATGCTTGATATGAAGTGGGTTTTGGTTGAGGGGACTAGGGTTAGGGTTAGGGTTAGGGTTTTGAGGTGGGTCCCATGGATTGAGAAAGATGTGAATTTGTTGTTGTGGATTTGGGAAGTGGTGTTGGTGTTGTTGTTGTGGTGGTGGTTGGTGGTGGTGGTGGGATGAGAAAGTCAAGAGATTAGGTGGGCTATGAGGAGGGTGGTGGAGGAGATGGAAGGGATGGGGAGTTAGGTTTCCCAATTGGTTAGCTGCGACTGAGAGCCTAGCACTTTCTTCAGCCAAGGCATCACAGAATGCTCTGTGGGTAATGAAGCTATCCTTCCTGTTTGATATGACATATACAATAAAGATGGAATTGTTCTAGTTCAGAAACATGAAGCTATCTTTCCTGTTTGATATGACATATACAATAAAGATAGAATTGTTTTAGTTCAGAAACATTACAAAACAAGAAAATATATGCCAATGAGAGATGACTAAACACAGAATTTTTTTTGGGAGAAAGTTTCCTTTTTTTGGTAGGTGTTTAACAAACCTAAAGGCTGTTTCATCAATCATTCAGTTCAAAAAAAATAAAATAAAATCAATCATTCAGTTTTGCAAAATGGACAAAAAAATGAGTATGCTTCTATTAGATTTTACTAATTTATTGGAATAAGTACACGGATAAGATTTTTAATAAGTGAATCATCCTATCCTATAATTTTTTTCCATCAACATGTTTTCAGTGTTTGATTTTGTAATTGATTTATTTATTCATAGTAGAATTGAATTTATCCCACAAAATAAAAAAATTACAAAAGATTATTATTAGATACCCAAATCTTTATACTAAATTTATTTATTATCTAATTGATATGGCAAAAGATTATTATATATGTAGTCTATTGACGTGGCAACTTCAATACATGAAAGATGAGGTACATTATATTAAAACACTTATAACACATGAGAAAATAAACAAATTTAGTATAAAATTTAATTATGACATCATTACTCAAATAAAAAATAATTTTATGGGTAATAGGAAAAATGTACTTTGGTGTGTATATATAACAAATATATTTTGTGAATAAATAAGAAAGCTCTTTAGAAATTTTGGCAAGAAAAGTCTTTGGTTTGGTGTATACATAGGATTGTCATGAGAGCATAGTGATGATGCAAGACTAGGAGCATTCTTTGATTCTCTAGTTTTTTTTAGTGTATATTTTAAAAAATAATTACAAATCAGTGATAAATCTTACAAATGTTAAGAATTAAATTATTAAATTTTTCTATCAATTTGTGATAATTTTGCAACAATATTACTAGTGGTAATTTTTTATTTTTTATTTTTTTCAGGGAGAAGGGTAGGAGATAGGTCTGGGCTAGCTAGAAAGTCATGCATGCGAATTGGATAGGGACCAACAAGTTACAAAGCTTACAATAACACAAAGTAGGAATTAAGTTTGTGGGTCAAAGTTAAAGTATAATGGTGTACTAAATGTGTTTTATACAGAGAGAGAGAGAGAGAGAGAGAGGGGGGGGGGAACCAGAAATTGACTGATGTGCAGGCAAAAAAAAAATAAAAAACAGTGGGCATAGATATGCTGGCCTTGAACTTTCAAGAAATTGGTAAATGGAATAGAAAAATGTTTTTTTTTTTTTTTTTGAAGTTAGAGCTCATGCATGAATTCAAGTCAGGATTCACCAAATAGACCCCTCAATGTGAGATAATTATTAAAGTAACCTTACTCTTAGTCTAATGCTCTCTACCATTAACCAATGTTTAATGATTCTCTTATTTATTTTAAATATCAACATAACATGATGAATTATACTATTTAAACAAATAACTTTCAAATAAAATACCAAATAGGATAGGAGTACTGAAAATTTTCTCTACATGATGAGGCAACAAGGAAAAGAACTCAACAATCAGATTAGATATATTTGCAGATTTATCAGATGATATATCATCATCATGAATGATGCAACTCAGAGTGATTCAGAGGAGAGCTCTGAAAACTGAATAATAATGGGCATGAGACATATGGTCCATGGCGATATGATCACAGATTCTCCAAAACCATGAATGAACGAATCAACCATCTATCTGCTCTTATAACTTGGTTCTTAGACAAGACCAGAATTTCATCATATTGTTTTTGATACTACACTGCAATCAATCAGTACTACTACCAAAAGTAAGCAAAGTAAATAATATTAAGAAAAGTTTGTTTATTCCAAAGCCTTAATTTTATGAAAAATGTTAATGTTTATTCAAATTAAAACTAAATTTTTTTTTACAAATAATCCAAAAGGTTTTAAAAAAATTACCACTTCTTAGACCATTATTGATCCATGCTTATCTAGTTATTGATTTTGATGACATAATAATGTGAGATGGATATGAGATAGGAAAATGAGACATAAATGATTTATCCTCAGCTAAGAACACTTGAGCCTATTTTGGCAACTAAGAAAAAAGATAGTTTATTGACTTATTTGGGTCATATCACATTTCTACTTTTTTGCACACTTTTTCTAAAAAACTAAAAAATTGGCTTTTTTTCTACTTTCCAAAATAAGCTTTATTAGCGTAACCCAATTTCATTAACCACCTAAAAATGCAGGTAGTGTCATCTTTCTTATGGACATGGTGGGATTGTTTGGTGTAGTTCATATGAGCTGTTTAAATTTTTTTAAATAGTTGTTTTAAAAATATAATTGTTTGATATAATTTATGTTTATAATTTATTAAACAGAAATAGTTTAAATTTTTAAAAAAATGATTGAAAGTAACAAAAGTACTTTTAATTTCTGCTTTTAATCATCAATTTTTAATTTATAATAAGTTAAACCAAACATGCCTAAAATGGCTTTTGCTTCATCACCCCCAAAAAGAAAAAGATAAATATGGAGAGAAAAAAAAAAGATGCATTCCTATTAAGAGTATGATAAATAAAACAAACGTTTATTATATATCTTAATTTTCTTTTTTATTTCATGTTTGTTTTTTTTAACTATTTAAAATTTTGAAAGAAGGACTTTGCAGATTTAGGTTTCAGAGATATTAGTGTTTTCAGTTTCGGTAATGAGATGTCATCACATCAGTGACAGACACTTGTATTAAATGGCGACCACTTTCATGCACCCCCTTCCTTCCCCCTCTGCCAAATGCATTTAAGCTTACTGATATATTCCCATGCAAAGCTTACCACTCTTGTGTAAGAATGAATGAACAACCACACAACAAAACTCATCATTCACTCAAAACAAAAGCCAAACACACCCCTCCCCTCCCCTCATAAGAACACATGCATGAGTCTCTTCCCACTTTTTAACAAAAGACAAACATCTAATATCAGCCACATTAGAGTCCAAAGTCATGACAGCAAAGATCCCTAAAAAACTAATTAAAAAGATAAAAAATAATAAAAAGACTCAGTGAATGAGTTTAAAATTGATTATCACAAGATATACGCATAAGACATGTGCAGTTTTATCCTATTCATAGGGACTGTTTTCCATGACTCGAACCTAAATTTTTAAAAAAATTCAAATGAAATGTAAGAAAGGAGAAAGCCAATGAACATAAAGAAAATTTAAAAAAAAGAAGTGATGCAATGCACAAGTATGAAGAGATTGTTTCTGTGAGGTTAAAGAGAATAAAATGTACCCAATTTTATTGTATTTATAAGGAGATGTTTCTGTTACTCAAACCATCAAATCCTAAACCAAAAATAAATTAAAGCAAAAAAACAAGAACACGGAAGAAAACAAGATTTTAAATATCGATCAATACGGATTGTATCAATCGATAGTATACCTATTACCAAAATGTGCCTGTATTGTCAAGATTGATATATTCTAATATCATTATTTAAAACCATAGAAGAAGAAAATTACCTGGAGAAAAGAGTACCGCAGTCGCATCTATACTCCCTTGTTCCACAGGTTTTAGAGTGAGCCTTCCAATCAGATTGAACAGCATAGATCTTAGAGCATTTCTCACATTTCCATTTCTTTTCCCCATGTTTTCTGCAGAAGTGTTTCTTGATTCCAGTGAGATCACCAAGAGCCCTTGAAGGGTGGTGATGAACACAGCTTGGTTCTGGGCAAACATACACCCTCTTTCTAGTCTCTTTGTTGTTTCTTTGCTTCAGCTTCCATGGAAGGTTGTGTCCTCTCCTGTGAAGCTGAAGGTTCTGATCTCTCTGAAATCCTTTCTTGCAGATCTCACACACAAATCTGTTGGTAGCCATAAGGGTCTTTGGTGATAATGATATCACTTCTGCATCTGGGTCTGCCAGTCATTCAAAATTTAAGTACTATATACTAACATGGAATCTAGGTGAAATCATATAGGTTTGGTTTTGTTTTCAAAATCTGAAAAAAAATACTACAAACTAAGTTTGGTGGTGTTTGATTTGGTCGCCAGAACTTATTTTTTTAAAATTAAAAAAAAATTGTAAATTAGTTTGACAAAATAAACATCAAAAAAATATTTTGAATTAAAAAAAAAATTTATTCCCATCTTCAAAAAGATAAAATCATACGAAAATAATGAGTTTTGTTTTTGTTTATTTTTTCATCAATTAGTTTTTGAATTTTTAAAAAAAAACAAATTCTAAGACGTGCGCATATTTGGTTAAGTTTTCAAATTTATTTCTGAATTTTTTTTAAAAACTGGTTTGGTAAAAAAAAAAAAAGGAACGCATATTCTCATATGATTTTTTCCTTTTTTGCGATGAATTGAAAACCAACCGATATAAAAACGATGAATTTCTTGATTTTTATATCAAATTATTTTTTAGTGTTTTTCAGAGAATAGATTATGAAAACAAAACCACATAATCATTTTAAATAGTGGTACCGGAATGTATTCGATCTGTACTGGACGGTATCGGCTGATATACGGAGGTCCCAAATTCTAATATGTAACTATGAACCAGATTGAAGTTACAGAATGAATGTTACCTGGGTTTCCAGGGAGGTTTCTCTTCTTCTTGATCTTCTGTGGCTGCTGTGGAGGGGGAATGGTTGAAACCATTGGATTTAGGCAACTCAAGTCCTGGTGGACTCTAGTCCCAGATGAAGAAGAAACACTATTATTAGCTTCCTCAGACAAAGAAGTTGAGTTAGACTTAGACGTCACTGCAACAAACATTTGCTTCTGAAGAAGAAGAACAACAACACTCCAACAAAAAAAAAACAAAAACAAAACAAACCCACTACTACTACTACTACTACTTCTACTACTCTCTCTGATCTCTGTATTTCTTTGATTTATTGCACTATCAAGCTCTTGTTGTAACAACCCACTTCAGACTTTTTCAAAGAAAACAACAAGAGCTAGAAAACAACAATTGAGAGAGAGAGAGAGAGAGAGAGAGAGAGAGAGTCCAAGATTTGGATACAACTAGGCAGTGGATTGTTGATGAAGAACAGGTGGCAGTGACACTTGGCTACAGATAGGCATATCATTCAATGGGTGGCAAAGGGGAAAAATCTCGTGATGAGATGATGGCTTATAATGGATTTTGAGTTTCTCTGAGAAACTCTGCAAACAAAATTGTGATATCTCTCTTTTTTTCAAATTTCTTCTTAATTAACGCACCACCACCACCCAAGCAATCAAGAACATGGAAACAACAGACAAGAATATGATTTTTGTTCAATACTCTGCTCTCTGATCTCCACCACCACCACCACCCAATAATCTCATCCTTTTGTAGCTATTATTATATCCATATACCCAAAAAGAAAGAGATTGTGTTCAAAAGAAACATTATCAGTTTCACTAGTAGTAGAGATGGTGTGTACAGAAGGTGATGATTACAGTGACAGACTACGGGGAGAAGGAGGGTGACAAATTAGAGTACTTGAAAAAAATTACAAGAAATCGAAAGAAACCCCAAGTAAAAAAGAAACTATAAAACCCATAAACAAAAATAAAAAAAAAAACTAAGAATTCTGCAAGAGAGAGAGAGAGAGAGAGAGAGACAGAGAGAGAGAGAGAGTGTGTGTGGTGGATGCGGCCAAGCAAAGTAAAGACCAGGAAGAATCGCAACTGACTCAATTCAAGTAGTATTCTCACGAGTCATCATATTTTCAATTTTGATGTCTTTTTTTTTTTTATTATTATTTTTTTAAGAAACAGAAAAGTTAGCAAAAATAAAAATTTAGATCAACGGTGGGGATTTAAAGTCCGTGTTGTAGACCACAACATTGACCATTGATGATGAATCGTGAATGGAATCCGGTGGAATGCTATCTATCTTAAATATTATACCAAATATTTTATTAAATTTTTCATATGGATGAGATTCACACAAATCTATGTATGCGTAGGTCTCACACTAAGAGGTTTGATAAAATATTTGATAGAATATTTGAGATTCCTGATATATCTTAATATGTTATATATGGTTGTTTGAGCCCATTTCGAGTTACTAATGTCCAATCTATCTTTAAATTATTAAAATAAAGTTACTAATGTCCAATCTATTTTTAAATTATTAAAATAAAATTTGAAATGGATCCAAATTATCGCACAACAGAGCCATCGGAGACCTAAATTCTAAGCTTTTTCTACTTCTTTTTTTTTTTCTGAAATTATAACACCTTTTCTTTTCTTTTTTTAATAAGAAAAATGATGAATTTGGCACTTTCTGTCTGTTCCATTGATCCTGTTATAAAACACCCAAATACCAAAAGGACCTTATTTTGAGTATAGGGTCGTGTTAGGAAGATAGTTTTAAATACAACATGTATATATATGAAATAAAAATATTCATATTATAATTGTGAAAATGCAAAGGAATTTATTATAACTATTTGGACTCCTCAAGAGATAAAGATAAACTCTCTAAGAGTTTTATCCTTATCTTGGCTAAGTCTCTTCTTTATTCTAGGACTCTTGTCCCTTATCCAC